ATGGATAATCCTAATGTGGAAATTACTTATATCTACTTTATGTATGGAATCTTCTTCACCGGTCTGACCTATCAAAATTCTTGTCGGACCTGCTTAACCTGTTGGACCTACTCTGCCTACTTGACCTGCTATATCTATCGGATCTACTTAACCTGTTGAACCTACTCTATCTACTTGACCTACTATATCTATCGGATCTACTTAACCTATTGGACCTACTCTATTTACTTAACCTGCTATATCTATCAGACCTGCTGCACCTGTTGGACCTACTCTACCTACCTGACCTGCTGTATCTGTCGGACCTACTATATCTATCAGACCTGCTGCACCTGTTGGACCTACTCTATCTACCTGACCTGCTACATTTGTCGGACCTGCTATATCTATCAGACCTACTACACCTATTGGACCTGCTTAATCTACTTAACCTATATAATCTGTATAACCTGTATAACCTGCTTAACTACTTTAACTTACTAGAATCTATAGTTATAAATATAAATAAATAATAAATCTGATTCTGATTAGTACTACTGTTATTAGTTAAACTAGTCTACTATAATCTTAATTTTATTACTAATTTAAATTTATTTAATAATTATCTTAGCTTTCTAGCTTTATATAAATCCGCCGCAGCTACTAAAATAACTTAAATAAATAACTATACTATTTATCTACTAAATCCACCTCTTATCCTAAAAACTAAATTATCTACCTAAAATCCCTACTGTCCATCCTAAATTCCTAGAGTTATTTATACTACAGTACCTATATCTTCTCTATCCATAGTCTATATAATATCCCTACTACTATTGGGATTAAAATATTCTAGTATATATAATCCTCTCTGCTCTTGTTCTGCCACCCTAAATATATATCTAGTAGTATCCCGTACTGGAAATATATACTGAATTATATATACTAAATCTACTGCTATACTACTAATATCTACTTCTATACTACCTAGCTGCCCGCTGCCTGGTAATAATATAAATCATGCTTATTCTATGTGTGTCTATCTACTATATAAATATAATAAACCCGCCGCCACTGGGGGGCTTCTATCTAGATGAATTTATAGTATAAAAATACCTGCTCTGCTCTCTACTGCTATAATTATAATAGTGTGCTATACTATTATTCCTATCGCTGTTATTGCTGCTGTTCTGCGACTGGAACCACTAGGGAACCTGTAGAGGGATAAACCACTGGGAAACCTGCGGGGGGATGAACCACTGAATAATTCGATGGAACTGATATAGATAATTCTTTATAATCAGTAGTAACTACCTTAATAACTACTAGGGATTCTATTTAGTTAGTATTATATCTATTACATGCCTACTCGTGGGTATCTATGTCCTGGTAATACCAGTGTGTGTATCTATCTACTATCCCATCCAGATATTTATCTAATATATATTACTAGTAATCTATCCTAGTTACTATCTCTATATATCACGCTATCTTCCTATCCAGTCCCAGCTGAAATAATTCTATTAGCTGGATAATAATTATCTTACTAGTCTATCTATTCTACTTTATCTATTTACTCTTCTATATATAATTCAGCAATGACTGTAGTACTTCTATATAGATTATACTATAGATATTAGAAATATCTACTTCTATATCTAATATACTAGTTATAGTAATTATCTTTTTTTTATCTATAAATTACTGTAATATCCTAGTCTTATCTATCTATTTACTCTAAAATATCTCATAGCTAAGTTATTATACTAGCTACTATATTAATATCTTAGTAGTACTATAAATTACTATCTTATCCTCTGTCTACTAGACCTGATTCTGAATAAACTAGATTACTACTAGGCTGGTTATCTAGTTACTAAACCCTAATTCTGGCTGCTATACCTAGTATACGATATTAGCCCAGCTACTATACCTATAGAATATCTATACTGTCTTATATGGATATCCTATCTGCTGGAACAGCTCATCTTCTAAGCTGGGGGGTAGTATTACTATTAATAATACTATTTATATCTATACCTAGTTTAACTGCCCCAGCCACTGTAAATCTGACTAGAACTAGGGGTCGTTGTGCAGGACTATATAGTATTTATTAATTATAATCTAATCTAGCTGCTGTATTAATTATATCTGGTTTAAAAATAACTAGAAATCCTTATCTACTACTAATTTAGGTGTTACTAGTATAATTAATATCTTATCTAAGGACTACTGGCTCTTCTATACTATATATTAAATATCCAGCTCCTAGTACTACTACTATAGATTAAATTATAATATAATTAATAGAACTACTACTACTGTTAATCCTCTGGGCATGGTAAATATAGATAGTATAAATAATATACTTTTTCCACCTCTAGTTAGTATTACTACTACTACTAGATTATCTCTATTCTAGATTACCTGTAATATGGGCTGCTATACCCTATATAATTATATATTCTATTCTATTATCTTCTATAATACTACTAATATATCTATTATATAGAGCTACTACTACTAGATTATCTAGTTTTCTATTACAGCCTTCTTCTACAGGGCTGTGGAGGGTATTATATTAGAGCTAAATATTTTCTTACTAAACCCTAAAAACTAGTACTAATCTATACTAGAAATATAGAACATCTACTACTAGTATATAGTTGTCTTAGTTTATTTTATAATACTCTGTCTGTATACTATCCCTACTATATATAATGAATATACTATCTATAAATCTATAATATACTTCTATTATTTATTCTTATCTAACCCCTTTTCTAAATCAGTATCTAATATAGTCTATATAGTATTCTACTCCTTCTACTAGTTATAGATAAATATACTACTAGGCTGTATAAACTATCAGCTAATCCTAATAGTAATATTCTAGTATTACTGAATATTAATACTATAGTATAACTATATTTATATCTTCTACTTTAATACCTTCTGGAATTACTCTAATATCTACTTCTACTAGCTACTAGGATTAGGGCTCTATATTAATACTAATATAGTAAATCCTAATATAGTAGTACAGCTAGTTAGGGTCTTATAGTAGAATAGACTAAATCCTAATATACTAGAGAGGATATTAGGACTGTATATAGATTTATCTAGATAGATAAGCTATGCCTTAAGTTACTAAATAAATAATAATACTAACTATAAATACTATACTAACAGCTTACTAATCTTCTAGAGAATATACTAGTAGATTATCTTAATATTATTACTAGTATAAAATTCTTTATAGTATACTAATACTACTACTACTAGTCTATTATTAATAAATATACTCTACTACTAGTTCTACTTGGTATTGGTATACTATAAGCTTAATAATTTAGAGGTATATCTAGACTAACTACTAGTAATATAGACTAATACTACTAGTTTTTCTTTGAACTGGGTCATGGTGTAGAAATATTAATAGACTAGTTTAGTCTATATCTAATCCAGCTGCTGTTAGTATATAAATTATTCCTATACTATAGATTCTATCTGTATCTACTTAATTAACTACTATTATCTATCTACCAGCTACTATATCTATATATTCTATAAAAAATTCTACTCTACTATCTACTATATAGGATTATTATATAGCTGCTACTACAGGATCTTAGGTATCTACTAGAATAACAGTTTATTCTATAAAATCTACTATACTGTCCCGGCCAGCCTGTGGATAAATCCCCGGAACTACTCTATACTAAAGTTAATATACTTATATAGTAGCTAATTCTTACCCATCTATATTATATATCCAGAGGCAGTGGTATTATAATAGATCTTCAGCCTATATATCTACTAATCCTATAGTATTTCTATTAGTATATAGTACCCGTGTACTATCAGCTACTAGACTATCTATTCTATCTACTCTTAGAATAATTTCTATATCTTCTAGGCCTATTAGATATCTATCTAGGGCAGTCCGTCCCCGCTCTATATAGGCGAAGTTGGGGGGGATAACTAAAACCCTAGTTTAGCTAGAGTATAGTCCTCTATATTAATCCTCTTATTAAAATTATCTATTATAGTAGTACTATTTAGCAGCTAGTTAGTACAGCTACCTATCTATCTCTATATCTAGATAATCTAATTAATATAGGGATCCAGCCACAACGCCTTCTGGATAATTATAAAGCAGGCGACTTTAATTATCTATAATAAAATAGAGAAGTAGCTCTTAGGGTTATATTATCTATACTCTGACTAGTCTAGTACTACTATAGTATATACCAGCCTACTCTTATACTTCTATACCTAGTATTTCTAGTTTAGTAGCTTAATATAAAACTCTAAATATACCTACTTAAGTATATCTATTATCTAGTTAATTATTCTATTATCTGTCTCTATAGGATCAGGGCTGCTAGTCTAGCTAATTACTAGCTGCTATATTATCTACTACTTCTTCTACTACTGGGGTTTGAATCTATACTATAGACTCTACTACTTATATAGCGTCTGGGTCTATATAATAAATCCTAAAATCTACTGCTACGACTGTATATATTTAGTAATACTGGTAGTATCTATATATAGCTATAGTAATTAGTATAGTATCTGCCTGACTTCTAACTATACAGCTTTAATACAGATGGCTTATCTATAATACTGTACTATATACTAGCTCTTTCAGACTACCTACTCTATAGTATTCTAAATCTATACTATATTCTACTCTATAGAATTAGGGGATTCCTTCTTAGACGTGGCTATACTCTATAATAATTAATTAGACAGTATATTCTATAAATATACTACCTATCCGGTTATCCACAGTCACAGGTTAGTATCTTATATCTAATTAGTCTGGATGACCTGCTGCTTCTATACTGTCTAGGTATACTTCTATACCTATAGTATAGTATTTACCGTCTAATCACTCTAGTTGGTAGGGAATAGCTGCAACTCAGTGTCTCTACTAATATAAATATAATATAATCCAAATCAGCTGGGAAATAAATACTGGTAATCTACTATTTTATATAACTACTAAAATTCAGTCTTATAAACTATCTACTTCTATAGAATTAATTAATCTTAGTATAGGTTTTATAATTATCTGTAGAATTTCTTCTAATAGATTTAGATGCTACTTACTGTCTATATAATATAATTATATTCATATTCTTAACAATATAGTATACTATTAGTAAAAGCAGGAATTCCAGGAACTAGTAATTAGAGCTGGATAGGAAATAATACTATATCAGAGTCTAGTATAATATTATCCTACTATATAATATTATTCTAGATTACTGTGGCCTAGTTATGGGGGATGCTATAGATAGGTTACTTTAAATAATAAGCAATTTTCTTAGGCCAAATCCTATATTAGTATTATTTACAAATTACTACTAGTAGTATATTAAGCTGAATAAAATATATATTCTCTATTATACTACTGAAGTTAG